AGTGGGGGGGCTGGGGGGCCGTTGCCTGGGAGCCGCTGTTGTCGGGCAGATTCACTGCCACGCAGACGCGCCGTCCAGGCGGGCCCTGGCCACCTCTCCAGCGCCGGGAGGAGAGAGATGGCCGCGACCAGCCCCAGCCCGGGGGCAGATTCGTGGGCTGGGGCTGCCGGGCGGTGGCCGGTCGGGACCTGGCGCTCTGCCCGCTGCGCGCCCCTCCCCATCACACGCGGGGACTCGCTCAGGAGCAGCAGGCAGGGACTGGCCCGGTGAGGGAGGCGCACACACCTGGAAACGGGCCCTGAAGCCCCACACTCACGTGGAGGCCAGAACACGGGTACACACGGGTGGACCTCGAGAGACAGGGACCCGGGGGCAGGCGCAGAAACACGCTCGAATGTGCACGTGTGCACTACCGTGCTCACCTGCAGACTCACATGCAGATGCAGAGATGCACACAGACATGTGCACCCACACGTGGACATGCACGTGTGTGTGCACAGACACTCCCACATGCACGCTGGCCCACGGCCCGGGGAGGGCGGGGAAGTGGAGCTCCCTCGTGGATGAAGAGAGGAGTCGTAGCGGGTGGAGGGGCGCTCTGGCCTCTGGCCAAGGTGCCCTGTGCACCAAGGGCCCCCAGGGTTAGGGTCTGCACACTCACCCCGACTTCCAGCTGCTCTGAGGGGCTGGTGTGGTGATCTGTGGGCCCCTGGCGAGTCCCTGCCCAGGGCCGAGGGAGACCACGTGGCCTGGAGAGTGCCCTTCAGACTGGAGTGGGTCAGTGCAGGCTCTGTGCCCTCTGGGCCTGCTGGCTTGATATGCTTTGGAAAATTGTCAGACTTACCCCCAGCTTGGAGCCTGTGACAGGCATTAGCTCTGTAAAGGTTCTGATAAGTCCTGCAGTAAGAGGACACCGTCTCCCCTCCCAGCTCTCCCTGCTTGACAGCAGAGCCTTTTGTTGGGGGTATAGGGGGTGTCAATCCATGCAACAACCAGCAGAAACTGTGTCCTGTGAGTCCTCCTTCCCCCACCTCCCATCCCCCACATGGTCTGGGCTGTGACCCCAGGCCCTGGTGACCCCAGAGGCAGGAGGGGCCACCCTGGGCTGGACGGACGCCCGTCTGGTTTGCCAGGCCCGGCGCCTCCCACGATGGGGCTTTCGGGGCTAAAACCCCGACGATCCCGGGTAAAACGGGACAGCAGGCCACCCAGCCAGGGCCCCTGTGCCCCGCTGGCCTAGGCCCGGGGACCAAGCTCGGGGGTCTCGTCGTTTGCCTGCGGCTGCCCCGGCCTCAGCCCCAGCCCCACCGCCCTGCCTTTCAGAGGCCCGAGTGAACTGCTCCGCGCACCCACTGCCGCTGCAGGGCTCGCCCTCCTGCCCCAACCTCTACGCCAACTGGCTGGTCATCCTCCTGCTGGTCACCTTCCTACTGGTCACCAACGTGCTGCTCATGAACCTGCTCATCGCCATGTTCAGGTGCCCCTCGTCCCAGGCTCTGGGCCCCCGGCCCCCCTGCCCCAGTAGAGAGGCCTGGACGCTCGCGCCCGTCCGCCCGTGCCGGTGCCCGGGGTGCAGGAGGCGGAGCAGCCGGGCACCGCCAGGCTTCGCTCGCCCCGGCCCCCGGCTCCGAGAACCGCCCTCCCTGCTCCCAGAAAGCAGGGCCGGGGTCTTTGGGGCGGCTGGGTGGTGTGAGGAACCCCGGCCTTGCCGGGGAGAGCAGGGGGCGTGGGGGGTGAGGGGACCCTGAGACGCACCCCGGGGGCCAGCACAGAAGGGGGTGCGGGGCCTGGCGCCTGAAAGGGCCCCAGGGGCAGGAGGGGGCAGGAGGGGCCGGGGGGCCAGTGGGTGAGGCTCGGCGCCTGTCCCGCAGCTACACGTTCCAGGTGGTGCAGGGCAACGCCGACATGTTCTGGAAGTTCCAGCGCTACCACCTGATCGTGGAGTACCACGAGCGCCCCGCCCTGGCCCCGCCCTTCATCCTGCTCAGCCACCTGAGCCTGGCGCTGCGCAGGGCCGTCCGCAAGGCCGAGCACAAGCGGGAGCACCTGGGTGAGGCGGGCGGCGGCCGCGCTCGCCCCGGGGTGCGGGTGGGTCGGGAGGGGCCTGGGCTCCTCCTCCGGGGCCTGGCGTCCTGGCTGGGCTCCTTCCAGGCTGACCCAAGCCCCGGACCAGGGTCAGGGGAGAGGCCCCCTGCAGCCTGCGTGCGTGTCCCCGTGCGGGACCCGTCCTCGTCCCGCAGTCTGGAGCCCCGCCCAGGGCCAGGCCGGGCTCTGCCACTGGGAGTGCCCCCGTGGCCCCGGCAAAGCCTGCGCCTGCCCTGGCCCTCCCAGAGCGAGACCTGCCAGACCCCCTGGACCAGCAGATCGTCACCTGGGAGACGGTGCAGAAGGAGAGCTTCCTGAGCAAGGTGGAGAAGAGGCGGCGCGACAGCGAGGGGGAGGTGCTGCGGAAGACGGCGCACAGGTGCGGGCGAGGGCGTGGCACCTGGCACCTCTGCCCACGCGGCTGCCCAGAGACGCAGAGCGGCCCGGCCTGGGGCAGAGGGACCAGACGCGCCCCGGCTGCTTGTGGCCCTGAGCCCTGGTGCCGGCGCCGACCTTGGAGGTGGAGGTGGCAGGAGAGCCTGGCCCCCAGGGTCCCTGGGGGACGTCTGCCACTGTCACTGGAGGGGTGTCCTCGGTGCCAGCGACAAGGACCTGAGCTGAGGAGCTGAGGCCGCGGGGGCAGGGCTCTGCTGGGGCCTCGCCTGCCCTGTAGCTGGGGACCGTGGCACGGATCGTGCATCCTCCCTGCTGCGGTCTCCGGGGTGACACTGGCCCCTCCTCCCTTCTCTCTGGCCCCATGGTCCATCCCCGCCCTCGCTTCAGGGGCCCTGTCCTGCCTGGGGCGGGCCCGGCCTGCCCTCTCTGCCCCTCGCTGGACGGTGTGACCCAGGCAGGGAGGGCGCAGAAGCGCCCGGCACTACAGACTGTGCTGCCCTAAGGAGTCCTGGGTGCCACCAGATCGGGCACCTTTCGAGGACAGGGCGGGGAGGACGGGAGGCTCCCACATGTGGAGTGCCACGTAGCGGTCAGCAGCCTGGCTTCTGCCTCTGTCACAGAGTGGACTTCGTGGCCAAGTTCCTCGGAGGGCTGAGAGAGCAAGACAAGCGGATCAAGTCTCTGGAATCGCAGGCAAGTGACAGCAAGGCCAGGTGGCTCTGCGGTGGCGAGGGGGCCTGCCCACCACCCACAGCCCTGCGCCCAGACACGAGCTGAAGAGCCACGCCAGGGCCCGGCAGGAGCGGGCACCCCTGAGGATGGGCCCTGGGGTGAGGACCAGCTGGTAGCTGGGCCTGTCTCCCCACCAGTCAGGAGACCACAGCCCGCCCCCGAGGGTCCCACGTCCCAGTCCCCTCACGGCCCACTGCCCACAGCACGCCAGAACCTTGCGTGCCCCTTCCTGTGGGCCGCAGCCCCCAGAGGGTCACAGGGCAGCAGGCCTTGGCAGGGGCCCCCTGCTGTCCGGGCAGCCCTGGGGTTTCCCTGAACACTTCGCTCTCTTCCAGGTCAACTACTGCGCGGTGCTCCTGTCCTCCGTGGCTGACACGCTGGCCCAGGGCGGCGTCCCCTGGAGTAAGCCCGCGTGGGGCGGGTGGGGTGGGGGTGGGCACAGGCGACACCCCCCTCGGGCAGCTGGTCCTGCCTTGCGCCTGCTGCCTCCCCTTCTCCGGGGCGTGGGGGTCTCTGATGGCCTTGGTTGGTCCTGTCCCTTGGGGCGGTGCAGGCGCCCTCTGACAGAGCCAGGCCCCGCCAGGGCGCGCCGGCCTGGTTCACCCAGACTCCAGAGGCCCAGCCTGAGCCGGCCCCTTGGGCCACCCTCTCAGCAGGCAGGACCCCCTGGGCCCTAGCAGGGCACAGCACTAGCCCCAGGGCTTACAGGAGGTCTGGCCCGCTCTAGGCTGCCCAGCTGTCCCCACTCCGAGGGCCACCATGCCCCGGCCCCCGCCTCTGAGGGCCCTTCCTTCCTACCAGGCTCTCGGAACTGCGGCGGCGGGAGCCGGCAGGCCACTGCTGACCACAGAGGGGGCCCTGGCGGCAGGGAGCCCCCGCAGCCTGGCCAGCCACCCTCGGCCACCTGAGCTGCCTGGCCTGCTGCGTGCCGGCCCGCTTCTCCTCAGCTGGTCCTCCTGGGCCTCATGGACACGCTGACCTCCGCCAATGTCCCGAGAAGCCCAGTGGGCAGTGGCCACAGGCTAGCCCTTCCCGGACATCTGCCCCACAGAAAGGAACCTCTCTTTGTCCTGCCTGACACCCTCCCAGGGCCCCCGGGAAGCACAGCAGTGTCCCGGAACAGTCTCCCTGACAGCAAGAAACACATGCCCCCAGCCCCCATCAGAGCACTGGATGAGCAGTGTGAGATGGGCATGTCCGTGCAACCCAGGGGACCTGCACCTACCCCCACTCGTGTTACCTGATGACAAACAAATCTTGCTTTGAAACGCTATTGCTTAGAATTTCTACCCCTTAACACCCAGCCCTCCACTCGGCAGACTGGCTCCGGAGGTGACTGTACCTGCCGAGCCCGCCACTCTTCCCCATGGCTGGCACAGCAATCACTGGGGCGCCCACCCTGCCAGGTGCCGCCTCATTTCCAATGGGCCCTGTAGGATGCAGCCACACACCTGGCCCAGGTCAAACGAGACCCCAGGCGGCTAATGTGTCCAGGTCACTGAGCACAAGTGAACACTCAGGAGCAGGGACTTACCCGCCAGACACGACATCTGGCCCCCACCCTGTGGTTGGCACCAGGCTGGGGGCATATTCTGCACCCACCCAGGCCCACTAAGGACACTGGCTGGACACCCATGGTGGTGAGCTGCCAGCCTGGAGGGAACAGGCCTACTTCTTGCTGTCCCATCAGTTCCTCCAGCAAATCTGGGGAGGAATGGAGGTGTCAGCACACACGCAAAGCAGCCCCCCAGCTACGGAGGGCTGGGCCGACAGACACGACACTCGAGAAAGATCTAAAACCTTTATTGTGCCCCAGTGGACAGCAAGGGCTCCCAGTGTCCCCAGCCCACACGCCCAAGGACCCCAGCAAATCTCTGCTCCAGTGGAGATAGGTTCCCAGAGCTCCAGCCAGGGCTGCTGCCACCACTACAGGCTGCCCCCAGCTTCCTCCTCAGGGGGATGGTCCTTCCACTCCAGATGGGCAGAGGCCGGGGCATCCCTCTGATGCCAGCCCTGTAGGCAGCCTGGCTGGGAGGGCAGGAGGACCCAGTGGCCAGAGTCTGCTCAGACGTCAGCACCCGGGCCCTCGGGGCTGCTGCCCTTACTCCGGAAATGGTCTCTACTCCGCTTCTTGCTGCCATGGAAACCAACAGTCTCCACCATCGGGGGGCCTGGCGTGGACCCACTATGGACAGCCCCTGACGGTGGTCCCACTTCCTGCAGGCCCCCAAGGGGGCTGTTCCACTCCTCAGCCTCAGGGCTCCCGGGCCTGGCCAGGTGTGCCAGCTCCACAGGGCCCTCCCCACCGGCAGTGCTGGGGCCCTTGCCTGGCTCCCCGCCCTTCCTCAGGACCCTCTTCCTCTCGGGTCTGGCCTCGCCACCTCGGGCCGGTTTGGTGAAGACGACTCTCCCCTCCCCGCAGCTGGAGGGGTCCTGGTTGAAGGAGGGCACGAAGTGAGTGGGGTCAGCGAGGCTCCGGGAGCCCAGGAACGCCAGGGCAGCCGCCCGATTGTCCTGCTCGCTGGCCTCGGCCACGTCCCCCAGGCTGTACTTGGTCCAGCGCTCAGGGTGTGCCACGTAATCGGGGACAGGGGGCACCTTCGGGGGGGCAGGGCTCCGAGGGGCCCTGCTCAGGCCTCCCGCTGAAGGCTGGCTCGAGGGTGCCAGGGGCTGCCGGAAGCTCCTGTTGCCACGCCCGCTGGCGTGGGCCACAGAGGGTGGAGCCCGCCTGGCTGCCCCCTCCAGGCAGTCAAAGATGTCGTGGCTCCGCTGGGAGAAAGTGGAGCTCATGCCTCGCAGGTGGAACGGCTGCACCGCGGCCCTGGGAGGCGAGGAGGGCTCGTCGGGGCCCGAATCCTCCTGGGCCTCCCCAGGCAGCCGCCCCGGGGACAGCGCCTCCACCTCAGCACCACCGGGCAGGCTGAGGTCGGAGTCCGAGTCACTGAGGGAGGCCGCGTCCGAAGGCAGGGTGTCGTACTCTGTCCCCTGCTTGCCCTCCAAGCCAGGGGATGGCTCTCCTGTCCCTGCCTCAGCCATGTGGGCCCAGGGCCACACCACACCTGGACCAAAGCAGAAGTTTGTTTCTGAGCAGAGCAGTATCTAGAGCAAGTTCCTCCTGCAGACCCACCACCCAGGGCATGGGCAGGCGAGGCGGACTGGCAGAAAGAACCGTGTCCCACAAAGGGTTGGGGCCCCGATCTCACCTTTGCAAAGCCCTCTTCTCACCTCCCCATCCGCTGGGTGGGTGCCTGTGGTGGACGCTGAGTGCTGGGTGGGCGGAGCCCTGATGAAGGTCCTCAGTGGCAAAGGTGTGGTTGTCTCAGTCCCAGGAGTCCCCCAGGACTGTTCAGCTGTCCAGCTGACACTGGGTGGGGGTCAGGGGGAGAACCAGCCATCAGACCGGAGCATGAACTTGCGGAACAGACACCAGGACGCAAGTGACCCAAGCTTGGGTTTATGCAGTCCTCGTCACAGGCTAGAAACAAGGGCAGGGACTTCTCGCTTGTTACCTCATTTACCACGACAATCCTCCCAGGTAGGCTCTGAGCGATTAGGTGGCCAGCCAGGGCCCGCACCTGCCTCTGTGCTACTATACCATCATTTACAAGCTGCTCGCTATGCATGCATGGCGTGCGACGAGTGCTCGAGAGACCCGCCCCTCCTGGTCCGTGGTGGGGAGGTGGGCTCCTGTTTGCAGGGAGACCCCGGGGAGCTCCGGAGAGATCCGCAGCCTAGTCCTTGGCGTCTGAGGGTCAAGCTCTCAGGAAGGCGGGGTGCCCACGGTCACCTGGAGCGGCCCTGCCGGGCAGAGGCAAGCCCCCACTGGTCCTGGGGCACAGTCCTTCCTCCTGGGACACCCGACACACGCCGGGCCTTTCCCGGCCGCGCAGAGGAGCGCTGCCGCGGGCCCCCACCGACTGTCGAGTCCACCGGTGCCCCGAGCCTGCTTCCAGGCCCCCAGGACGGCCCGGCCGCGGCTCTCAGCCACCGGCCCCCCAGCCCCGCCCCGCCGGGCTTCCCTGCCCGGGAGCCACAGCGAGGACGCGGCCGGGCCTGCGCCCCGCCAGGTCGGACACCGGCGGGATCTCGATTCCTGCCGGCGCGACTCTCCGCGGCGAAGGGCCGCCCGCACGCCCCTCGCCGTGCGCCGGCCACTGCCCAGGCCGCGCTCGGACGGCCTCGGGGACGCCGGCCCGGCCGCTCTGGGGGGCGGGGCCGAGCCTTCCTCCCGCCGGAGCCAGCGGGCCGGGGCGGGCCGGCGGGCGGCAGACCTCCCGGGGCCCTCGGCGCCGCCAGCCCCTACGCACCTACCGCTGCCGCGCGTCCGCCACAGCCGGCTCCCGCGCCAGTCGTCGTACGCCCACGGGGCACGGCGCATGCGCGCGGCCCGCCCCGGAAGCGCGTGACAGGAAGGGGCGGGGCGGGGGCCGCGGCTCCCGCGCGACTAACGGGCAGTGGCGCCCTCTCGGGGCCCAAGCGCCGCCTGCCGGAAGCCGCGAGGACTGCGGCCGCCGCAGGCAGGAAGTGCGTCATCGCGCACGGAGGGCACGAGGCCGTTCCGGGGTATTTCCGGTTATGGCCGGAAGTGGCTGCTGCTGCCGCCGCATTATGTCCGGTCAGTGCCCGGAAGCAGGGAGACTGGAGACCCCACGGGGGCGATCCCAGCCCGTCGTTGCCCGCAGTCCCCCGGCTCCCGTGGTCCCACTTAGGCCAGAGCCCGAGCCGGCCCCAGCTTGAGACAAAGACGCGGGGTTCGCGGGGCGGCCCCCTAGCCGGCCCTCCGGGCCGAAGCTTGTCCCCGAGGTCCTTGCAGGCCCCTGGCCGCTCCGCCTTTTTCCTTGAGGGGCGTTGACCTCGGGGACACTGCCCCAGCCGGCGGCTCGCGCCTGGGCGTCAGCTCAGAGGCCTTGCTCTGGGCTTCGGGAGGTACAGATGACGTTCCCCCAGGTCACTGCAGGGAAGCCAGGGCCAGGCTCTGCTCTGACACCGTCCAGATCAGTGGTCCACACAGGAATCCCGGCCGCCTGGCCCAGGGAGGCATGGCGAGTGTCGGGCAGGATGGAGAGGCCAGGGCAAGGGAGGACAGTGAGCACTCCTCAACCTCCCAAGTCAGCCAGGGCTGGGTGGGTGGCAGCCAGGGAGGACGAGGTCCCAGGTTCTCCCTGGACAAGCCACACCTCCCTTGGCCACCAGCCCTAGGTGGGCAGCACCTTTGTCCTGCTCTGCTGAGGGTGCTTCATGTCCCACAAACTCAAGGCACCTGGGTTCCCCTTGGCTGCTAGACCCACCATCACTCTGAGGACCAGAGAGAGAACTCTCCTCTCCCACCCCCAAGGGCCTGCTGTCCTGGCATCCATCAGGAAACCAGGATTCAAGGACTGGTTCTTGCCGGGACTAGAGAAATAAAGAGAGGAAAGCAGGAACCCCACTCAGCTGTGCACCTTTGGGACACCTTATTCCTAAGACTGGCTCCTCCCTCCCCGTGCCCTCAGCCAGGAATGCATGGTCGATCGGACCCTGAGCACTTAGTCTTTAATGTCACATTGTGGCTTCCAGGCAGCCATGTGGAAGACCTGGCAACAGCCTTGGCCAGGGTGTCCCTGGTGCCTTGCAGCACAGGTCGAAGTAGGGAGGAGAGTACTCTTTGGACCATCCCGTTCTCCCAACCAACCCAGGATTGTGAGGGGGTCGGGAGCACCACAGGAGAGCCTGCAGAGACCCTGTAGCACCCCAGTGCAAGGCTGGGGTTAGTTTCCAAACTCCGCCTGCAGGGAGGCTGCTGGGAGCCCTTGACGTGATTCCCAGGCCTTCATTTCCTCCAGCAGTCATGAAACCTGCTAGCACCCCCTGGCTAGGGGGAACAGCTGAGCCAGAGCAAGCTCCACCCCAGGGCGCAGCAGACAGGACAGTCCAGAGCCCAGTGGCTGTTAGTGCTCAGGGCAAAGGAAGAGGGGAACTCCGCAGGAGACTGCTTAGTCTTAGAACCTCAGCCCGGCTTGGTGGGCTGGGTGGGTTCCCCAGGTGGCAAAGATCCTCCCCTCCAATCCCCTCCAACCCTGAGGGGCATCGTAGGCCCTGAGCCACCCAGGTCCTCATGGCCTGTTTGCAGGCACCTAGACACAGGCAGGGAAGGGACCCTCAAATGCCCAGGAGGGCCAGTGTGTCCGTCCGTTACTGTGCTGTGCCCAGGAGGAAGGGGAGTCTTGCAGCTCCCCCTCGCCTCCTACTGCAAGCCCACCCTGTCCTGCGTCCTCTGGCTGCCTGACCTCTCCTGCTCACCTCTGGGCAGTGTGTGCCCAAGGACTGAAGTGGGAGGGAGGTGGAAGTTTCTGCAGGCAACTCGGGGCCCCAAAAGGGCATGCATGGACCACATAGAGTGCTCCCAAGGGATCCCCCCTACCCCTCGGCTGGCAGCCCCTCTCAGGATGGCTTACCCTGGACCTGGCGTAGTCCACAGAGGCAAGTCCCACCCACACCAGGCTCGTGGGCCTCTCCAGCTGCCCGCTGGGTCCCAGATGCTGGCACAGGAAGGGGCTGGACAGTTCTGGTTAGCATGCCTGATTTTTTCCTTCTTTATTAAATGACTGTTTCAAGATGTAATTACAGTTGAAAGTCACATGTTAGAAAGGATAGGTGCATTGAAGGCATAAGAGTGCTCATAGACCCGGCTCTCGAACTGGGGCAGGAGAGAACAAGGAATAAAAAGGCATGAGCCGTGCAGCCCACAGGATGGACGGGCAGGGTGGGTGGACACAGCCCGAGCTCGGCCGAGCTGAGCCTCTGGGCTAGTGGCCCCGGGAGCGGCCTGGCTGAGCAGGCAGAGCTCCCCAAAAGCCCCCAAAAGCAGAGGGACTCCTGCCCTGCAGTCCCCAAGGCCTGGGTCTGTCTCCACTCACACACACACCCACACACACGCCACCTACATGTGGTGTCAGCCCTGAAAAGGTAATAGGAAAGTTCAGAACAAAAACAAAACCTCAAAAGTAAAAAGGCTACGTGTAGCAGAGTAATACCGGAAAGTTATATACACAGGTGGTGACGGCCCCTCGGAAGTGTCCGGGTCACTCGGGGGTGGGGTGGGGGGGCACTGCAGGGGTGCCCCGAGACTGAAGTTACAGGGGCCTCAGTACACGGAGCTGTTCCGGATGCCGCAACACAGCACCATGCTTAGGATCATCTCGAAGATCTGCGGGAAGGTGGCAGGCGGGCACTGTCAGCACCAGGCCCTGTGTGCGGGGCAGCCCCACGGAGCCCAGGCCCCCAGCCTGCCCTGCCCCCGGCTCACCATGATCACGGCGACCACGATAGCCGCAATGCCGATGAGGTACAGCTTCCCGGAGAAGAGCTCGTCGATCTTCTGGTGGCAGTCCTCCTGCAGGGGTGGCCGTCAGGGGTCAGGGGCCAGGCCTCAGCTCCCAGCCCCCTCTTGCCACACAGCAATCCGTGGTCATCGCACAAAGAGCGCAGAGGGGACCCACGGTGGCTACAACACCCTGCCCACTTCAGAAGGACTCTGCCAGGTTTTTATCTCCCATCCATTATTATTATTATTTTTGAGACACAGTCTCACTCTGTTACCCGGGCTACAGTGCCGTGGCATCAGCCTAGCTCACAGCAGCCTCAAACTCCTGGGCTCAAGCGATCCTCCTGCCTCAGCCTCCCGAGTAGCTGGGACTACAGGCATGCACCACCATGCCCGGCTAATATTTTCTATACATTTTTAGTTGGCCAATTAATTTCTATTTTTAGTAGAGATGAGGGTCTTACTCTTGCTCAGGCTGGTCTCAAACTCCTGACCTTGAGTGACCGCCCGCCTTGGCCTCCCAGAGTGCTGGGATGACAGGTGTGAGCCACCGTGCCCGGCCCTAGCTCACATCCATTTTAGAACAACACAAAACACCTGGGACACACTGCCTGTGCCCTTTTTCACTTAGTCTCTCCAGTGCCCTAAAGTGTCACTGGTGTGCACTGCCCAGGTGACGTTCACTGAGGCCTTGGCGGGCGATTTCCAAAGGGTACTATGGCCTCCAGGGCACTACCCCAGGTGGCCAGGGCCCCCCATGTCCCCTAGAGTGCAGGTCCAACTGTGAGACCTGGGTGCACGCCCCCCCTCCCCACCACCACAACTTCTTCACCTGAATGCGCAGCACGGGGCGCCTGCCTCCTCCTGGGCCAGACTTGCCCCCCCCCCCACACACACACACAGGTCAGGGCCCTGCCTGGCACGGCTGCTTCCCCGCCAGGCCAGCCCGCCGCCCAGGGCCCACCCCAGGGAGGCCGCACACGCGCCCACCTTAAACAAGGTGCCGATGAGATTGTTGCCCGAGGGACACAGGTTGTTCTTCAGCACCGAGGTGGTCAGTTTGGACAGCGTGTTGGAGCCGCAGCAATCGAGCTGCGGAGACCAAGGGTGCCGCCGTCAGACCTGGGCACTCGCAGGGGGACGGCAGCCCAGAGCTCCGGGGGATCCAAGGGCAGATGGCCAGGGAGATGCGCCATACAGGGGCCCCCGCGAGCGCGTCTGGGCCAGCCTTCTTCCCTGCCCAGCGGTCGCTGCATACTCGGCCAGCCTGGCCCCCGGGGCTCCCACCCAGGGACCAGCGGAGTCCACGGGGCACTGCCTGCTCCAGGACTCGCCCCAGGAGAGGAACACCCCCACCGGCCTGGGGTCCCAGGGCCCCTGTGCCCTGCCCACCGCCGCCCTGCCCACCGTCTCGTGGAAGGTCTTCACTACGGCCTTGGCGTTGTTGGCGTCATCATCCACCACGGCCTGCTGCAGGGCCTGGTCGTAGAACTGCTTCACATCCTTGGCGATCTGGGCGCGGCGGGAGCATGGTCACATGCTGGGTAGACACGTCCTCCCCCTGGGAAGGTCCGCCTCCAGGACAAACCCCGGACGGCTGCAAGGCGGCCCTGGGGCCCCTCCCGCCTGAAGCCCCCGAGACCTTCCTGCCAGCTGAGCCCAGGAGGAGCCCAGGGAGCACCGCGCACACCCTGCAACACGAGGGAGGGGCCCTGCCTCCCCTCCAGGCCCGTCGAGGGCCCAGGCTCACCTGGTCCTTGTTGACAAAGCCCCAGATGCCGGCGGCCACCTCGCAGGC